CTGGCACGCTCGGGCCCCAGGGGTGCCTGGCGCGCGTGGCGCGCCCGGCACGCGTGACGCACCTCGCTCAACCGTCGCGTACATGGGCTCGATGTTGGTTCCCAGTAGCTGTCCATCCAAAGACGACCACTGAGCATGCTGAGGCTCGGGTGTTACTTATGTGTTGGGACGGCGGGTGGGAGTGCTGGACGGCTTGCTATCCAGAGGGTGTCTGGATCCATGTTCCCTATTAGTATACACCCCCTCCCCCAGGCGACTGGGAGCCAACCAGAAACAATGCGGGCCCCCCCCACCATCCCTTGTAAATTATTCATTGCGTGGAGCTCCCCATCTGTGCATCTATTCGCATGGACCTCTCCGCCGTGAATGTCTAGGCGCAAGAGTTTTCGAATAAAAACGGGCTTCACTTGTGACGGGGTGGTCATGAATCTAATAGTGTGAATGAGCCTCAGTAGTACGAGCGCGTCTCTGCGCATGAGCCTGGGTCCTCCTGGGGCCTCCTGGGGCCCCCTGAAACCTACAGGGGCTTCCTGGGGCCTCCAGGAGCCTCTTGAGGCCTCCTGGGGCCTCCTGGGACCTCCTAGGGAGGATTTGTGCCCCAGGAGGGGCCCAATCTATAGCAACAAAAGTAATACAACATTGCGGATTGGAGCCACAGGAGAAGGGGGCAATCTATAGGTACACACGTAAAACACCAAGGATTCGTGCCCCAGGAGAGGCCCTATAGGAACATACGTACACAGGAGAAGAACAATCGATAGAAACATACGTACAACATCAAGGATTCGTGCTCCAGGTGAGGCCCAATCTATATGAGCATACGGAAAACACATGGGATTGGAGCCACTCCTGTTGTCGTCTGAGGCCTCCTGCTCCTGGGGCCTCTCGGGGCCTCCTGTTGCCTTCCGATGCCTCCTGGCGCTTCCTCTGGCATCCTGGGGCCTCCTGTGGCTTCCTGAGGCCTCCCGGAGCTTCCTCGGGCCTCCTAGAGCCTCTTGGGACATCCTGTGGCCTCGTGAGTCTTTCTGTGGCCTCCTGATGCATCCTGGGACCTCATGTGGTCTCCTGGGGCCTCCTGGAGCCTGTTGGAGCCGCCTGTGGCATCCTGAGGAGAATCTGTGCCCACGAGTCTGGCCACCGATCGAGACGTCCTCAAAATCTGGCCCACCTGGGGGGTGAAAATGAGCGGCTCGCTCGAGAAATCCTCCAAATCTGCTCCGAAAGCGAAGGATGTTGGGATAGAAAACAGGCAAACCGCTTGAGACATCCCCACAAAATGGCCGCGAACGGGACCGTGAAAACATCCTTGGCGGCTCCCCTCAGGGGGAGCTGAAACCAGCGCCCCGCCTGAGACATCCTCACAATCTGCTCTGGTAGCCAAGGATGTTGGGACAGAGAACGTGCAAACCGCTTAAGACATCCCCACAAAACGGCCGCGAACGGGACCGTGAAAACACCCCTGGCGGCCCCCCTTCGGGATGCTGAAACCAGCGCCCCGCCTGAGGCATCCTCACAATCTGCTCGGATAGCCAAGGATGTTGGGACAGAATACAAGCAAACCGCCTGCGGCATCCCCACACAATTGCTGCGAATGGGACCGTGAAAACACCCCTGGCGGCTCCCCTTGGGGGGCTGAAGCCAGCGCCCCGCCTGAGACATCCTCACAATCTATTGTGTGTGTGTGGAATAACTCAGACAATGAAAAGGTCTGAGTACGAGCAGGTCTGAGTATGAGGAAGTCTGGGAACAAGCCTGAGTATTAGTTAGCCTGGGCATGCGTGAGTCTCAGCATGAGTAACTCTGAGTAAGAGTAGGTCTGAGTATGAGTAGGTCTGAGTATGAGTAAGTTTATGTCTGGGTAAATCTGGGTATGCGTAAATTTGATGTGAGTAATTCTGGGTATGAGGAGGAGGAGAAGGAGAAGAGGGAGAAAAAGGAGTAGGAGGCGTCCAAGTAATAACAAGAACTCAATCTTAGGATATGGGGGAACACAATACAAAACACACACTGCTTCCAAATTCGGAGCATGCGCCGCGAACCCAGTGCGGCCTCCCCCCGCCATCCCTGTCAAGAATAATCCAGAATGCACTTGGCGGCGATGGCGGCTGCGTTGGCTGCGGCGGGGGCAGCGGCTGCGGCGGCTGCGGCGGTGGCGGCGGCGGTGGCGGCGGCGGCTGGAGCGGAGGCGGCGGCGGAGGCGGCGGCGGTGGCGGCGGAGGCGGAGGCGGTGGCGGTAGCGGCTGCGGCGGCAGCGGCTGCGGCGGCGGCGATTCGGCAGCGGGGGCAGCGGCGGCGGCGGCTGCGGCGGCGGCGATTCGGCAGCTGGGGCGACGGCGGCGGCGGCGGCGGCGGCGGGCGGCACGGCGACTGCGGCGGCGGACAGCGGCGGCGGCGGTGGCGCGGCGGCGGCGGGCGGGCGGCGGCGCCGGCGGAAGCGGCGGCGGCAGCGGCGGATTCGCCCCCAGTAGCTGCCCATCCAAAAACGACTGCTGAATATGCTGCGGCCCAGGCCAGGCTCGGGTGCTACGTATGTGATGGGAGGGCGGGTGGTAGTGAGCGAGACGGCTTGCGGGCGGGGAGGGAGTTTTGACCTCTCCCCTGGACCTGGACGGGGGGCCCCGCGAGGAATCGGAGCGTCCAAGATGGCTCCAAAAACGCCTCGGAAAGCCCATGGTGAGTTCCAAGATGGCTCAAGATATCCCCAGATGCCTCAAGATGGCTCCCAAGATCTTCCAAGAGACCCCAAGACCGCTCCAAGACGGCTCCAAGTGGCCAAAGAGCTCACCATGGAGGCCTTGAAGAGGCCAACGTCCTTCCAACACCTAGGGGAACTCAATGTTGTTTGTTGTCTCGCCTTTTCGCTTCCGATGGCCATCCGAGGCCTCAAGATGGCTCAAAATGGCCCGAGAGGGCTCCAAGAAAGGCTCAAGCGAGCCCCAAGACGGCCCCAAGAGTGCCCAAGAGCGCTCCAAGGACGCCACGAGAACGTCGCAAGAGGCGACTTCTAGGGCTCCCGAAAGACAACGCTACTTCAAGCTACCCTCTTCTTTGATCGACGTTCTCCAAGATGGCCCCAAGAGCGCTCCCAAGGCTTCCAGGAGCGCCTCAAGAGGGCCCCAAGAGGCGCCCAGAGGGCCCCAAGAGGCGCCCGAGAAGCTTCCAAGGGGCTCCCAAGAGACCCCCAAGAGGCCCCAAGAGGTTCCCCGAGGCACCCGAGAGGTTCCAAGAGGCCCCTGGAACCGCCAACAGGCCCCCAAGACGCAAGACATGCCCAAGAGAGCTCCAATACGGCCCCAAGAGCGCCCAAGGGTGTCCCAAGAGCGCTCCAAGAGGGACCCTTCCTCTGTGTGCTGCCGCACTGCCCACTTTCCTCATCGAGGCAACTCCTTTGGGCATCGTCTGTGGATGGGCTGGTGGGGTTGCGCGAAACGTCTAGAATATCAGACTGGGCCTCGTCATCTTCCTGGCGGCCCCGTCAGGCCAACCTGCGTCCCCTGAACCCGAGTCTTACGTCTCCCCGATGCTTGTTGGCAAATGGCCGCCCAATGTCAGTGTACGTTCTACGTTGTTCTGTGGCGTTTCTGCGAAGCCGCATGGGACAGAGCCCAGATACCTCAGTGTGCAAAGTGAGAACCCAGGCCTCCCAGATGGGGTCTGAGTACATGAGGTCGCAGGATCGCGCCGCATCGCCGATGCATCGGCGATGCGGTTCCATGTGGGGCCCGATCTTCTCCACGCCGACGTCGCCGATGCATCGCCGACGTCGCCGGTACATCGCCGATGCAACGGCGATGCGACTGTGATGTGGCGCGATACTCCGACCCCATGCGGGAGGCCTCTGGAGAGGGGACAGGCCTCAGAAAAAGGCGAGGCTTCTCAGAGGCCCTCGCGCCTTCCGAGAATTTTTCTGCGCCTTCGAGGGAGGCTGAAAACACTTCGCACACGGCCCGAAGCTTTCCGAGCCTTCTGAGCAGGCCCGCCCGCTCGGCATTCGCCCTGGGACTCGCCGCGCCGCCGGCCGATGCCTTCAGTCGCCATGATCGGTGATCGGGGCGAGCGAGATGGCTAAGGAAAGAAACGGCGGCGGCCGCCCGAGGGGAGAAGGTTCGGGCGTTTTCATGGTTTCGGACGGTTTCGTCGGCTCTTGGCGGTCTCCCAGCCTCGGGGTGCGCTTCAACGGCTGCGCCTCGCCGATGGTTTTCCAAGTGTCCTGGTAGGAGGTCCACTACAGAATTGATTAACCCCATCAGTGGGAGTTTTGGTAGATAATTTCAAACATTCTACGTATTGACCGTAGATTCGTCGACAAAAATCGATTTGGGGGTAAATCAGTTCTGCAGTTGATTTCCTGCTCGAGGGGTGTCCAGGTCGCCCTCAACGGCCGCCAGAGGCCCGAGTTATATCCCGAAAGCCACTAACAGAGGGGGCGGGCCTTCCAAGGAAGCTCGAAGACCGCCAGCAGTTCCTGCCCATTTGAAGCAGGCCTCGTTGTCGGTGTCGCCACGGGATTTTTTATTTGAGGCAGACGGCCGCCTGCCCAACAGCAGCCGCTGTCGGTTTTGGACAACATTTGTTGTTGGGTATCGTACCCAAGTTTTCCGTGCCCACTTCGGGCGTCCAAACATGAAGTACAGAGGTGTTGAGGTAAATGTGTCCAATTGTTTTTCTGCGTTTTCGGGCTCTGAAGGGGTCTTCACAGGCCCCGGGACAGCCAAGCCACGGCCCAGAACGATACGCGGGTTCTCTGAGGAGCCTTTGGGTCCCACGACCCTTTCCCTCGGGACCCGTTCGTTTCAGGCCAGTTCAGTCGGCACGGCCGAAGGGGGAACGTGATGAGCAGGAACGTCGACCTACAGCAGCTCCTGCCCCATTCTGCGCAGCATATGCTGTTGAGCGTCGCCCCGGGTTGCTCCTCGAAGAGCCTGGTTCACCGCGGAAACATGCAGCCCCACGGCATATTGCTTGCCGTGATTATGAAGCCTTTGTTGCCAGCGGGACAGGTCCTTTCGACGAACGAGGACGCGTGGGACTTGCTCACGGTCGATGAGCGAGCCGCGTCTCCCCTGCCTCTCTCGCTGCCCACGTGCTTTTCTAGCCACGGGCTGTTGGCTGTTATGTTAGGTACGCTGGGCGGAGAACAGCAGTGTGCGCCTGCATGGTTTATGCGGGCCTTCCTTGCACGAGTCCCCCGTTTCAGATCTTTTCGCACAGGGTTGAATCGATCTGCAGGCCCTTGGAGCAGTTGAGGAGCTGCTCTCAATCGGGCATGCTCGAGCGAAGTTGCCCACGCAAACCGACCTGATTCTGGCCTGACCATTGCAATTATGTTCCCCCGTGTTCCCCTTGAGTGTCTTTTCTTGCTGGCGGGCCGATCGTGTTCCTCGTTTCACCGCTCGGACCCATGCTGCTGCTGCTGCTGCTGTTCCCTCCTCTCGCTGTACACAGTTTTGCACGAGCGCAGGGCACGTGCTCTGAGTTCGTGGGGTATATTTGGTCCGATCTGAAACCTTGCGGCACTTCCCCATATCATATGCAATATTGTCTTGTCCTGTTCCCTCTCCTCCTCCTGCTTCCCTGTTCCCCTCTTTCCCCCCTTCGCCCTCCCTTCAGTTGTCCCTCTCTCGCCTTTTTCGTTCCTCCTTCTGCCCTTCCTCCCCGTTTCTCTCCTCTCCATCCCTTCCCTCTCCTTTCTCCGTCATCCTCCTCCCCCTGCTTCCCTTTCACATCTTTCCCCCTCGCCCTCCCCCCTTCTCCCTCCCCCCTCCCCTCCATTCTGCCTCCCTCGCCTCCTCGGCTGCTTCGTGTCCGCACCAGCGAGGGAGGGGGTAGAGGGAGGGAGGAGGAGGAGGAGGAGGCATTGCGGAAGAGGAGGAGGAGACGGTGGAGGGGGTGGGGGAGGTGGGGGAGGGGGAGGGGAAAGGAGGGGAGGGGACGATGCTTCTGCATGCTTGATTTTCACGGTCCCTGAAGGGGGACGGCGACGACGGCGACGACGACGACGACGACGACGACGACGGCGGCGACGACGACGACGACGACGACGACGCTGACGTGGGTCAGAGTCCTCAGGGATTCTGTTTGGGTTCTCTTTGGAGCGCTCTCGGAGGCCTCTGGGGGGCAGTTTTTGGGGCCCTTGGGAGCATCTTGGAGGCCTCTTGGGACCCTCTTGGGACTTCTAGGGGGGCCTCTTGAGGGCGTAGTGGAACCTGTTTTGGCCCCCTCGGGGGCCTCTTGCCGCTCGGGGCCGAGGGCTCGAACTGTCCGTTGGTTCTCCTATCTGGGCACGCTCTTGGAGCCCTCTTGGGGGCCTCTTGGGCCGACTTGCAGGCGTCTTGTGGCCGTCTTCGGACCCTCTTTGGCCCGTTTCGGGACCCTCTTGGAGGCCTCTTTGGGGGATCGTTGGAGCCTTTGGGGCCGATTTGGAGCGAGAAGGAGGATGAATAGGATGATGATGAGGAGGAGGAGGAGGAGGAGCAGGAGGAGGAGGGCAAACAACAGGGCCAGAGTTCTCCTGGATTCCGCTCGGAGCCTCTTGGGGTATCTCTTCGGCGCTTCTTGGTGGCCTCTTGGGACGTCTTGGGGGCCTCTTGGCGGTTCTTGGGGGCTCTTGGGCGTCTTGGGTGCCTCGGGGGGGGGGCCGCTTGGGGTCCTCTTGGGGGCCTCCCGAGGTCCTCTTTATGGCCTCTTGGGGCCATCTTGGGGCCATCTTGGGACCTCTTGGGGCCTTCTGGACGCTTCTTAGGGCCATCTTGGCGGAAACCGATCAAAGAAGAGGGGAGTTTCAATTACGGTTGCCCCCCCAAGATGCCACACTGGAGCCAAAATTATGGTAAAACCAATAATTGTGGCTTACTCGCCGAGGTCTTTTTGGGCGCTGCCATTACCCGCGACCGGCTCGTCCAGGTCCCGGGGAGGGGGTAGGAATGAATGAATGAATGAAGCCGCGTGTCCGTAGGCACATGAGCAAAGGCACGAGCGTGCGCTACACAGTATATTTGCGCACCGCTGGTTTCCAGGTTTCCGCTGGACAGGTGCCCAAACCCGAAAAGTTCCAACCATAATTACGACACATCTGCTTAGCATGCTTAGACAATTCTGCTGCCCACGCCTGCCAGGGCCTGCCCCTCTTCCGGGGCGGCCGGGCGCCTGCGTCAGCTCACAGGAAGGAGGCTGGAAGACAGCCATTCGGACAGGATGGTCGTCGGCCTTGCGTGCGATTTCCCCGAACAGGATCAACTGCCGTCGCAGCAAGAGGTCCGCTGAGCTTGCCGCGTCCGGCTCGCTGCAACACTGCGGCGTTGGTGACTCGACTGACATTAGAATGCCCGATGCCGAGGATTCTCCGCAGGCGCCGCGCCTGAAAAACATTCAATCTGGCCAGTTCGTGCTGACGTAACCAAGATTTGTGGAGGCTGTACAGCAGCGTCGACTCGACGCACGCAAAGTACACGTTGGTCTTTCTCTTGGTAGACAGAAGAATGAGACCAAGCACGCTGTAAATAATAGAATTCTGACCTGGTTCGGCCGAGCCGCCGGCTCAATTCTGCACCCACAGAACCATCCAATGTCAAGACGCTTCCCAGGTATATCATGCTCGTCTTCTGCGGGATTGGGTCGCCGTCAGGCTTAAGTATAGCATGGGCGTTGCACCCAGTGGCCATGAGCTCGAGCTTCACGTCAAAATCCAAAATGAGCTCCGGCGTCTGCGGTGGCCTTCATGTGCTCCTCCGCACCCGCAGCGCTGGAAACCACAATCAAGGTGTCGTCCGCGTATACCAGGTCACTGACGCGCCCGGCCAGGTAACCGAGCGCGTTCTTCGCGCCCCAGAGGAGGACGGTCATCAAAACGGCGAAGAAGAGCGGCGACAGAGGACAGCCCTGGCAGATGCCCGCCCACTGCTCTCGCTGCCCTGACGTCCTGCCCGCATCGCGAACAGCGAAAAGCCGGTCAGAGTAGATCGTCTGGACGATGTCCAGCATTTTGCCTGGTAGCCCGAATCGGCGCAGGGCTGCTATGAGAGCGTCGGGCATGACACTGTCGAAAGCCTTGGCCCAATCCAGCGCGAGGAACACATGCGGCTTCTCAGTCCGCGCGAATGCCTCCTCCAGTCTGCGCCTCGCAATGAAGATCGCGTCATTTGTGCCGCGCTTTGACTTGATCCCGAACTGCGTCCGCCAGATTGTGTTATCCGCCCCTGTCCTCTTCAAGCGGCGCAAGAGTATTGCTGCTAAAAGTTTGCAACCGGCCTGCAGCAAGCAGATGGGCCCGTAGTTCCCGTAAAGGGAAGGATCGCCCTTCTTGAAGATGGTGGTCACCAGCGACTCGCGCCAGCCTTCTGGGATGTTACCGTCTTCCCAGCATTTCTGGCATAGCGCGGTGGCCAAGCTTGCGCCGGCGAGTCCGGGCGACATCTTGGCTTTCAAAATCCCCAGGGATTTCGTCTGATCCGCAAGCTTTTTCCCGTCTCATCGCCCTTGCTGCCTCGACGACTTCCCAGTCTTGACTGGGCCCGACTTCCACGGGGAGCGAAGGCCCCAGCATGTTTGCCTGCATAGGCGATGTGTCTCGCGCCGCCCACTGCACGCTGCTGAGGTAATCAGCCATTGTATCTCGACGGGAATCTGAATCAATAAGCTTGCCGTGCATGTCCCGCATCCGCCTTTGCCTAGGCGCAACCCCCAGCCGCAATTTGCGAATTTGCCCCCAGTCTCCAGTGGCGAGAATGCGTTCCAACCGCTCTGCACGGTCTCTCTTCGCAGACGCCTTCACTTGCTGATTTTACCGTCTCTCTGTGTCCACGTCCCCGCGGCGCCTGGCGGCTGTGCGTGCTTTGATGATGTCCATTGCGAGGTCAGAGACCCACGGTCTCCGCGGCGTAGCCGTCTGGGCAGGGATCGCAAGCGCAGCCGTGGCGAACGACTCTTTCGTGAGAGCGTCGATGTCGGATGCCGTCGATACCGGCATGCTGTTTTCCAGCTCCTCTGTGCGATCGGCGAACGCCGCGGCAAACCGGTTAGATGTCCCAGGGGGGCGGAGGGCGCGCAGGTCTCGCCGGGGAATTGGCTGTTGTCGCGACTCCTTTGGGACATGCACGTCTAGATCTGCGTAGACCAGAAAATGGTGCGACGCCAAAGTGCGCCGCCGGTCACATGTAATGTCTTTCAGACTGCCCAGCCAATCCTTTGACAACAACAGAAAGTCGACCTGTCCAAAATTATATGGCGCGGGGGCGCCAGACGGCTTCCCCCCAACGTTATGACACGTGATCTGCCGGTCTGCTGGTTGATCGAAGGCTGCGTTGCCGATGAACAGTTTGCGTCTGGTTCAAAGCTCTGCTGGCAGACTACGGTTGGAAGGCGGATTGCATGCAGCCGCAGGGTTGCCGAGCACATGGCCCCATGATGCCCTCCTCCTGTGGGAAGCGACGATGATGCCGAGCATTGAAGTTTCCCAGGACCAAAAGTGGCCCGTGCGAAGATACACCAGACAGGAAAGCACTGAGGTTGTTGTAGAAGGCCTGCCGGCGCTCGAAGAGTTCGCCGCTGCGCGGGGCATATGCGCTACAGACCACAACTTTGCCACCAACCACCCGTAACTTCAAGTGCGCCATGCGTGTTGTCTTTTGTCTGAATCCAACCACGCTGTTGCGAAGATGAGGGGCAACTATGAACCCAACTCCGGCCGTCTCCTCCTGGTCGGCGCCGGCGGCGCCGAAGGAAACGGCGGGGGAACCTCCATCAGAAACGTGATAATCGCAACCTGCCTTGCGCGTCTCCTGGATGCACAGAATGTCGATGCTGAGCTGAACCGCGTGCCAGTCCAGCTCCAGCTGCGTTGCGTCCGCGGAGCCCTCCGCGTTCCAGGGCGCCGCCCGGAGCAGCCGAGAACGCGGGCGACGGGGGCCCCCGCGAAAACGAAGTGCTTCCTCAGCTCTGGTGGGACGTTGGGGAGCAAGGTAAAGATAGGCAGCGGCATTGCCGGCCGCTGCGGGCACGTGTTTGCGCGGGCGAATTCTCAACAACTCGTGGTTCATATTGGCAGTAAGGC